ATTAGCCCTATAATAGTTTATATTAACTGTTCAAAGTGGTGGCTTTGTTTGAAGCATCTTGTTTGCTGAATGGGTAATCAGAGATTTGGCAGCACCAGTTTCTACTAAAAAAAACAAAACACAAATAATCACATATCCATGTACTCTGAACAAACTAACAAACTATGCCCAATACTGTAGGTATAGAGCTGACCATATCTTTACAAGCAAACTGATGTGCCTTGTGTTTAGATTTATGACAAAATTTAAACAGGGGTCTGCTACTTTATATAGTTGAAATGATGGCTATAATGGCTTGTTGTAAATCTTCCTCTATGTGCTTGGCAGTCTGTCTGTAAGGAACCTACTTTTTTCATTGTCTCACAACAGGAAATGAACAAACCCACTTCCAGTGATCAAAATGGTCACAGGTCAAATATGTGCTCCATCCTTGCCCAATCTAATGTCTGTTTGGATTTTTTAAACCTAAGTTAATTGTTAGTTATTTCAAGTCAAGCTTTTATTTTATTAGCTTGATGGTTCAGTTGACCTTGGCATTTTTTATATTTTCAGTCTTGATGATACTGAAGTTTGGTTTAGGTTAAGCTCTGGTCTTAAAGCCTTGATGAATAAAGTTTCTTTAATCTTAAGAATTCTCTAACAAATCAGCTGAACCAGTGATTGAATGCTCTTGTATGACTTTTGTATGCTCTTGTACAGGTGATGGCATGTTAACTGTTTAATTGTTCCTTAACTTGCACTTCAAGTGTTCAGATATTTGAACCAATATAGCTTCTTACAGGAAATACATGAATATTTATAAATAACGGGAGCATTTGAGTAATGAAATACTGTCTTTGATATAAAAGAAGTTTTGAAATTCAAACCATAGTTACATTAATTTTTGGATAAGTTATCTTGTTTAGTCTCAGTCTTATTCTTTAGGGAATGTACATGTGGCTAGATATAGTAGCACAAAGGTCACAGGACAAATGTAAAATATTTGGCACTAAATAAATGGGGGTTGTTGATTTCTTTCAGAAACCTGTTAAACTCACTGTTAACAAAATGAAATGGTAACTTTTTTTTGTAAAAAGTATTGGTGTTAAATTCTTTTTGAAAATGTTCTGTTGAGCTTATTATTTTCCATGCTCTGTGGATGAGAATATTGACTAAATTGTTTAATCCCTCTGAAATAAAGCTCTTACAATGAAAGTATAATATAGTAAAGGTTATCATGGAAAAACATTCAATGTAAATGAATCTTCTATAGTTAATGACATTGATATCCTAAAAAAGAAAAAGGTAACTGTGAGTTACTTTGCTTTTCAGAAGTGAATTACTTACTGATATGTTATTTATTCAAGTAATCAAGAGAGTGTTCTGTGTAGACATAAAAAAGATTGGCCGAACAGGGAGCCAACTTTGACTTGATGGAAATGCTATGTATTTGACAATACAATTCATTATCAAAACAAAAAAGAACACTTTTGTAGCAAATTCAAGTTTTAGTTAATCCTTTTAAGTTTTTAGTATTATAAAAAAAAACTAAGTCACCTGTTAACTGTAACTTTTCATTTAGAAATAACTTAGTGAAAAAGGAAATATCAATCTAGGATAATAAACATGCTTATAAAATTTGAGTTTTTTTGCAATGAAGAACATTTAAAACTATCTTTATCTCTGTATTCATTATAGCCAGGGTTTAAAATTTTCTAATTCTGCTCAAAGAAGTTTAGCTCCTTTTCAAAAAGAACTTATCAATTGATGCTTAAAAAAAATTTTCATTTCATTGTTAATAATGTATTTAATAGTTTTTGAAGGAAGTTGCAAACCCCATTTAGTGCCTAATGTTACAAATTAATGTAAGAATGGTCTTTAAACCCTAAAAATAATTCAGAACTTCTTTTACATTAAAGACAGTATTCTGTTATTTGAACATTCCCATGTCATCTATAAATATTTGTGTCCTCACTATAAAAGAGGTTATATTGATTCAACCAATCAAACACTTTAAATGTGGATTAAGGAACACTCAGAACAGTGACAGGCAGTTATTGGTTCAGCTGATTGTAAGAGGATGTTTAGGGTTAAATAAAATTTATTCATCAAGACTTTAAGACCAGAGCTTAACCCTACATTCATGGGTTTAGTTTAAATGTACGTATACCGTGACCTTTTACAAAGTGCCATTCAACTGGGTATTACATATTTGATGTCTGAGCTGTCAACTTCAATTGACCCTACTTTGCCAATTTAGCAACAGTACACCGTAGAGGAGAGCTAATATCAAATACGATATACAGGAATACTAAAAAAATAATGTGCAGTTCAAAGTTTCTAGAGGTCATGCAAATACAATATGTAAACTGTATGATAGACAAAAGTATTTTATTTTTCACATTAACATCATATTACTCTCCAAGTTGTCATAGTCCAAGTCAGACTGATGTCAATTCACAAATGTATCTTGAGTACAGATATCTTTGTAACACATTTTATTTTTTTTTGCATGTACATTTTACAGAAAGCTTGCCACATTTTTGGTAGGTACACATAGTAAATTCTGAATTATTATAAACATTCTTTCTCCAGTATGTGGTTGATCTAATGGAGTGATTCCATGCACATTCAGTTAATTTAAACAAAACTTAAGTATCAATAAAACTAAAAATGTGAGTAAAAAATACTTCTATTGTGTCATGCAAAAACCAGTTGATTCATCAAACAAATAAAATCAAAGCTTAACTTGAAACAATGACCATTAGCTTATGATTAAAATGTGAATTGATCTGCTTTCCTGGTGCATTACTGATGAGGCTATGGTTACAGGACTGCAGTATCCTTGACCATTCATTGGAAATTGGTGCCTTTGTCACACTATATAGCAGTGTTTTGAGTCAGTGGTTCTGAACTTTTGAGATTTTACTGCCCTTGGATATTTGTGAAGAGGTTACATCACAGCCATTACTTCAGTTGGCTTCCCCTTCTTTCAAAACTTAAGTGAATTTGTCAAGTTTAATGTTGATATCACAGAAACAGTTTCAATTAAGAGTTGAAATGACAACATTTGTGTAATACTGCATGAGCTCATTTGAAAAACCCTTCATGAACTTACAAATGAGGATCTATTCCTGATTTGCAGTTACCATTCCAGATATACCTTTCTATGCATATCATCTGCAACAAATGAGGATCTATTCCTGATTTGCAGTTACCATTCCAGATATACCTTTCCATGCATATTATCTGCACATGTACTAACTTTTTATGGAGATTTCATTTTTGGACCAAAAATTTCATCTGTTAACTCTTTCAGCACGGGCTCGGTCCCTAGGACTGATCTCGTAAC